GCAGTGTCACTGGCCCTCATATGTGGGATCCGAACCGGGGCCTTCTGGCATCCCAAGCCAGTTCTTAACCATCGCGCCACTCCGCCGGCCCTATTTCTTCTTTTTTAATATCTGTGTCTACAGCTATAAATTTCCCTCTTAGCACTGCTTTTACTGTTTCCCATAAGTTTTGCTATGTAGTGTTTTCAATTTCATTTATCCCAAGGTATTTTCTAATAAAATTTTGAATTTATTGATTTTATAGTTTTTAAACTTAGACCTTTTTTGGCCTTAGAGATACATAAGAACAGTTTTCTCTTGTTTCATGTTTATGCATATTTAAGTTACATTATGATAAAAGCATGTAATCACCTGTGGGGGGTGTCTGAGAATCCCCCTCTAAATTCCCTGTGTACATTTATGGAACTGGGGGAAGCATCAGTGAGTAAGTGAGCCTGTCAGTGAGACGCTCTGGGGGCTCTGCTCCTGGGGGTCCTCTGAATAAGGGAGAAATCTGTCCTCACTGAGGCTCTGTCCACGGCTGTGGGCTGGTGTGCACGTGTCCTGAGGGTTTTGCGCTCTGGCAGCAAACTGCTCTCCTCTGAATCCGCTTTGGGTCCCCTCTCCACACCCTCCGGTTTCTGACTGTCATCTTCACAGCCTCGCTCTAGCCAGCTTTTGGCAACCATCTACTACTCCATTTTAGAGACTGACAATAGTCAGGCACTTGGCAATGGGGTGGACGTGAAGCAGCCAGCTGTCTGGGCAAGTTGCAGGTCCTGCCAGTGCCCGTGGCTTTGCATGTTCCCATTCGCCGTGTGGGAGGCTTGGGGCTGCAGCTGTGGACTGGACCCGAGCCGCGATGCCAGCGGTTGCGCCATTTGCTCACCTGTGCTGACACCCCTCTCCCTGCAGGTTTTTAAGAACCCCCACGAGGTGGTGACGGTGCTGCTGATTCAGACGCTGGGGGACCTGGCGCCCTCGGTGCCCCTCTGCCTGCGCTCCGCCGTGCAGCGGGCAGGGCCCGAGCTGGAGCTGGCCAAGCTGCTGGAGCTCTACGCTGCCACCGTCCACTTTGCCAAGGGGCTGGAGGTCGCACTCCTGGCCCACTCACGTGAGCATGCCATCCCGGTCCCCGGCTCACCTTGATCGCTCTCGTTGAGGCTTCTGGGGCCTGGGTTTGTTTGCCTATTCAGGTGACTGATTGACAGAAATGGAAGGGTCATTGTTTTCCTTCTGAACAGATGGGGAAACCTTTTCCCTGAAAATGCTGCCATAATGGAAATAGTCGTTGCTTAGTGTACACCCGGGTACCCGTTCTGCCTCAGTGCTTTACATGCTCGGGCAGTGCGGACCCCCCTGCAGAGGCTGAGAAGGTGACAGGCTGGGGGGCATTAGTGGCAACGAGTTGGCAGAGGTCACCTTGGGAGGGTAGAGTCCCCTTCCTTTCAGGTCGTCATGAAACCTCAGACAATTCAACCTAGAAAGTAAGTGTAAGAGAACAAATGGGTTAGAGGAGCTTTTTGATGTGGCAGTCAGTTCTGAGGGCAGGGGTGTTTGGACAGAATGTGGCTGCAGGGAGACGGGGTGCTGCGTCTCCCCAGCTCTGCTCCATCCACAGGAAAAGCGTCATAAACTTTTAAGAAACGCAGACCTGATGACGCGTGCTGCTGTCAAACCAGGAAGTCGCTTCAGGCAGGCCTTGTCCTGCCGTGTGGCTGCTGTGTCACCCAGTCGGCTTCTTTAATAGTCACCCTGTTTAATTGCACTTGTGTATAATTACCTCGGACATTCCAGGGAGTGTGTTTATTGTTCAGGTTCCTGGTGATTCACAGGTGTTTTGGCACACTCGCTGGGCAGACCTTGGTTGTGGGGGTGGCACGGTGGCTGTGGGCAGCTTCCAGGGGACCGGGGTGCGCTTCCAAGAGCCACGGGGACAGAGTGGAATGAAGGTGGGCCTGGGACGGGTGGCCCTCCTCCCACATTTGAAGGGTCAGACACAGAGGCGCTTTGTTAGTCAGTCATAGTGGCTAAGACTTTAATGATTCCTGTCGAGTTTTTAACAGCATTCATTAAATTTAAAAATCCTTTGGAAACATGCACAAAAATAAAAAAAGAATAAAAACGATCTATATCCTCATCACTTAGAGCCACTTCAACATTTTGCCCTGTTTCCTCCCAATAATTAAATATAAACACACATTTGTCATAAATATGTATATACTTTATGTGCACACACATGCATATGTACATATTTTTAAATATTGGTTGCATACTATCTTATATTCTCTTTTTTTCTTTTGTTCAAAATAATATAAGGAGAATTCTCTTATGTCATTAAATGTTTGATGATCACTTTCTAACTATGGGTTACTATAAGTTTTTTCATCTGTTCTTTGAACAGTCTGTGTCAAAAAGCAAACAAGCACTCAAAGACTGATAGGGACATGGCAAAGATACAGGTGCCAGCCCAAAGGGACAGCCACTGACCAAGTTTGAAAAGGTGTGAACATCAAATTGAATAATGACAACAGTGGGTCATGACACACTGCATGAAACAAATCCATGCGTTCATGGTGACGTTAGAGAGAGAGGGAAAGAAAGGAAAACCCTTCTTTACGAAAGCATGCCAGCAAGTAGATGTGGGAGGAATGAAGGAATTAGGAAATCGCCAGTTATGCTTAGGAATGTAATGTTGACTCAGGCGAGGGTTATCCGTGGATGCGCAAGTCACTGGGTAAACGTTCAACTTAGAAGTTGACTTGCTGTGTCCTAGAATGTGCCTATTTAAATTGCTGGTGGCGACAGGTTTTGAATTGTTCAGTGGCCAAGTGTAGGAATGGGGGGAATGCCCATTGCATCGGTGCCCTTTCTGTCCAGCCCCAGGGAGGCTCGTGGTGGAAAGGTCCTGCAGTCCTTTCTCAGTGGTAGTTCTTGAACTTGACCGATGAGAGTTCTCGCTTGAAGGGATCCTTAGCTCCGAAGGGCTGTAGGACCTAGGGGGCTGGTGTCTTCTGTAGTGCTTTAGACAACAGTGCACAGGGCCCAGACGTGCCATAGTACTGACTGAAGTGACTGTCGCAGCAGCGGGAGGTGTCACCCCCAAGAGAATGGGGTCCCGGGACCTGTCCTGTTGGTTTCCAACACCGGGTTTCTGAGTCTGCTCACGGTTGCCTCTCCTTTCCGATTCCCTACAGACGAGCCCAATCTGGTGAAAGTCACAGAACTGGTGGACGCTGTGTATGGGCCGTACACGCCCTACCAGCTCAAGTACGGCGACATGGAAGCCCAGAACCTCCTCATCCAGCTTAGCGCGGTGCCGCTGGTATGTCGCTGTCCTGCCGGGCTGCCCAGGGGTCATTCTGTTTGCTGGGAGGAGGCTGGGGGGGCAAGCACCAGAGCACGTGTGAGGTGGCGTCAGGGGTGCAGAGAGCAGCTCCCAGGGCTTCGTGACCTCAGACATAAGATGAGAGCACAGGCGCTCACCCAGCTTCTGCTTCACGTCCCCAGTGGTGGCCGAGCCAGACGAGGGGCTAAGCTGACCAGCCCTGATTTCAGAGTGCCATCCTACACGGTCTTTAGTTCAGGGAGGTCAGCAGGTGAGCACAGCAGCCGAGCACTTCTGGTCACCAAGGGGGCGCCGAAGGCGCGGAGGCCATGCGAGGCCACATGCAATGCTGATCCTAAGGTTGCCTGGTGTGAGCTGAGCCGACATTTCAGAACAGGTCCTACGGTCATGAAAATCGGCTGCCTGCTGCCGTTTTCCCGAGTTTAGGGATGTACCCAGAGGTCTGTTCCACTTCAGTGAGGCTCTTGGCCCTGGAGGACGAGTTTGTTTCCCACTGCCTCCTTTGGGAATGTCTGAGTGGGGAATAGGAGCCCTAGCTTGAGCCACAGGGAGGGGCCATCTCAACCACAGGAAGAGGAAAAGATGAGATGCACGAGTGTGATTCAGGATCTGACCCTGCCAGGAGTTCGTTTCTGGGATCTCGCTGGCCACGTCCCCGATGGGACTGCATTTCCGATGTCCCTGTTAAGTGCTTTTCCCGGGGTCCAGAGGCTCGGAGGCCTCCCATCTCATGTTGTCTCTTGTGTGTCCGCATCTGCTGAGCAGGAGCGTGGGGAAGTGATGGACTGCACACAGGAGCTGGGCCACTCGGTGCACAAGCTCTTCAGCCTGGCGTCGGCAGCTGTTGACAGATGCGTCACATTCACCAACGGCCTGGGCACCTGTGGCCTGCTGGTGGCCCTGAAATCCCTCTTTGCCAAGTAAGGCTGGGGAAGGGTCCAGGGCCAGCCATGCGGGGGGCGGGGGGGGCAGCGTCCGTCCCAGTAACAATGCGCGGGTCCCTGTGCCCACTGGGAGCCCGAGAAGCACTCGTCTGAGCTCAAGGGGACACTCCGAGGGTGTGGGTCGCAGCTCTGCGTGTGGTGGGAGCGTGGGCACCGGGCGTCCGACCGTCTGTGGCTGCAGGCGGTGTGGGCACTGCCGCGCTTGTGGTATTTATCGATTAATTCCATCTACACACACAAGCGTGGGTAGCTCTCAGAAACGTTATTGGGAGGATAAAAACAAGTTGCAGAATAATACGTAACGTCTCATGAGTGTGTAAAAAGAACGTCCAAAGGGGAGGGTGTATTTTCTGTAGTGGGGTTCAGAAAACTTTTTCTTAAAGGGCCAGAGGGTAAGTGTTTGGTCAGCAGAGACGTTTGGGCACTGGCCCTCGTGGTGCGGAAGCGGACTTAGAGGGCACCACGTACATGGCAGGGAGTGGCCATGTTCCAGCTTCATTTACAGACACCCACGAGTGCCACCCCCTGTTCTGGATCTTTTTTTTTATACTTTAAAATGCATTACATGTTCTTATAAAATAGCGGTTGGGAAACTCTAGCTCATGAGCCAAATCGGGCTCGCCGTCTGGTTTTGTAAATAAAGTTTTATCGGAACACACCTCTGCTCCTTCCTTCCTACCTCTGGCCTGTGACTCCGCACTGTGAAGGCAGAGTTGAGTGGTTGCGACAGAGGCCTGGGGCTCTTGCAGCCTCAGCTCTCCGGACCTCACAGGACGTTTGCTGAGCCCTGATGTGGAAGGTTAGGCAACAGACTCCAAACACTGGTTGTCTTCGGGGAGATGGGGAAGGACTAGATGATAGTGGTCCCAGGATTTAGCTTTATTTGCTTCTTATTTGTTAAGAAGGCGCCTAAATTCACATATTTTGTGTGTAATTGGTAAAGTAAAAACATAGACGAACGCCAGTGTGAGTGAACGAAGCCAATCACCAGAGACCGTGATTCCATCTGTACGAAATGCCCAGAACAGGCAAACCTGTGGGGACAGAAAGTAGGCTCGTGGCTGCCTCGGGCTGCTGGGGCACACTTGTGTTCGTCCACATTTCCCTGTCACTTTGTCCCATTCCCTGAAGGGCTAATGCCCCAGGAAAGCTGCCCACTCTGGGTGCAAAGTGGGACTTGGTTTCGTAGCTTTCAGCGTGAGAGCTCGAGGCTGACGGAGCAGCAGTGGTTTCTGGTTCCGGGGCTGGTCTGAAGCGGTTTCTTCCACTTGGGTTTTTAACGGCCCTTCTTTGCACCACACAAGCTTTCTCTGCAGGGCGGCCCCTAGGCTTGTCACATTTGTCACTTGGAGCTTAGGGTCTGGGGAGGGAGACAGGTGAGACTTCTTGCGATGTTCCCAAATGTTACAGGACTTCAGGGAGCCTCGTGGCTTTCACACAACATGACCCCCACCTTCGTCCTCCTCAGCACCCCCTCCCAAGGTCAGGTACTCACTTGTTTATGTGGTAAGAACTATACATCCTTCAAAACAACAGTGCCCACATTGCTTTCATTTCATGCTTCTCCGAGCACTTCTGTGTATATTATTTCACTCGTTTTATCATCAGGGCAACTCTGAGGCCACACGGAGGACTTTGTTAAGTCCAGTTCTTAAAATTTTCTACAAAACACTTTATTGAGTATTTTGTCACATTCCAGTAATTTAATTGTTAGTGATTAGGTTTTAAATAGTAGTTTACTTTCCCTGCAGGTATATTTCAGACTGTAGAAGCGTGGGCGAGTTAAGGTGTCACGAGCTTCCTTTAAAACACTCGACGACCTTGGTAGCTGCCACTTTTCCATTCGTTTTTAACGTCCTGTTCTTGTTGAGAACACACACTTGCTGAGTCGGCCTTCGTTTTCCTTTGGGCACGTTGTGATAACGGGTTTGGGTTAGCGAAACGGAGAACAGTGACACTCTAATGTGAGACCCAGGGTGTGGGAAGGCTGAGGGTCTGAGGCTGTTCTAGGAAGATTTCGTGACCCTGACAAATGAGATTGTGACAGCCAACAGTAAGGCAGGTCGTAGAGGTCCTCAGGGTCTCTCTGGGGGCCATCAGGTCCTTTGTAAAGATGAGGAAACTCAGGCTCAGAGACACCGAGGTGCCTGCCCAAGGCTGCGGTCCAGCCTCCGTTCCTTTAGGACCTGTTTCCGGTGTCTCCTTTGTGCCAGCTCTGTGCTAATTCCCAGGGACTGATGATGAGCTACAGCAGGACAGGGCCTGTTGTCCCCGAGCTTCTCGTCTCCCAGCTGCACTAAACGTGAAATGCCAGGAAGGGCATGTGCGCATGCAGCGGGAGCAGGCAGCGCCACCTGAGCGGGGGTGGTTTCCAGCTTGGACCCCGTTTCCCACTCCCATGCCACGAAACGGGCTCCTGCCTGCCGTGGAGCTGGCTGTTTCACCTGCATTCAGGGCATGAGAGTGCTGCAAAGTTCCCTAGAATCAGTAACCTGCCATCTGGCATCCCGGTGACAGGTGTTACAGTGGGGCCGTGGCGTTTTAACCAGTCCTTGCAGCCCGCTTCCTAAGAAATGCACCTGCTAGGACCAGGGAGTGATGTCCCAGCATCACCTGTCACTTGCTGTCCCCTTCATCCTGAGCGTCTTTCAGAGCTGCTGCGCCAGGTGGAAAGGCCTGTCTTGCCCCACAGAGAAGACCTCGTAGTGGTCAGAGGGTGAAAGTCACCCCAAGGTCATGAGCACTGTGTCCGATCGGATGATTTTAGGCGTTTTTAGGTCTGAGGTGTGTATGACCCCAGCCCTGTCACTTTTGCCTGTCCTGTAGGTATGTGTCTGATTTCACCAGCGCTCTCCACTCAATACGCAAGAAGTGCAAACTGGATGACATTCCTGCTGACGCCCTTTTTCAGGAGGATTGGACAGCTTTTCAGAACTGCATCAGGTAAGGGGAGGTTGCAGTACCCTGTGCGGCCAGATCCGACCTGTGTGACATGGAGTATGGCGATGAATGTGTGTGGACACACTTGATTTTTTTCCTGTCTCTGCCCTCTTCTTCTTTTTTTTTTTTTT